CTAGGATTTGGGAACAATGATGGATATCCTGTTTTTCCAGGCGGGGGGGGGGATGGAGGGGTCAGCTCCCCCCCCCCCCCCCCCCAACTGGCTGAAGAGAGTCACTGTTTGATGAATATGATGTAGTTATAATTCTGTGTTGATCTTTCGAACAACAGAAAATTCTTTTTTGAAATATGTGAGATTGTGCATTTCTTAGCCATGCGACTTTAAATATGAGTCCATGTTTATCTTCCCCGGCACGTAGAGCCGAATGCACTGCGGAGAAGGACACTGATTATTTTTTTTGATTTTGAAGTTTTGTAATTTTTTTGGTTGAGTTTTTTATTTTTAATATTTTTTTGGTTGAGTTCGTAGGTTTTTATAATCTTTTTGAGTTTTGGAATCTTTCAAATTTTAGACTTTCTATTTTTTCAATGGGAAATGAGGGGAAAAGTTTTCAAAAGAGTTCTGTATTATTTATTTTTCGATGTGAAACGACTTCTTGCTTATTTAGTCCGCTAAAAAAGAATTGTAGCACCTCACCATAGGATTTACCTTCTGCATAGGCATTTAGAGATCGCCAGAACCGCCGAAAGAGCTTCAATTGAATTTGTTTTTCATCAAAATTCTTTCGAGATTCTGGAATAAGACGCTTAATAGTAAGGCATGTTTGGTCAGTCATTTTCCTGATAAATTACTTCATATGACACCATAAGCCTTCGATGGCATTTAGCTCGCAGTGGAACTTAGGTACAAAGATGATCTTAATATTATACTTACTTGCTAGTTTTTCTAGCTTCGATGTAGTTTGAAACGCTGGATGGCTTGAGAGAAGGGCACGAAGTTCTGTTAGCTTGATTGAAGGATGAACAGCCACGTTTAGATCCTTGGCCAGTTCCAGTAATCCCTTGGACTTTCCCTGATGTTTATCTTTCTCGAAATAGCACGGCACATAGACGGTATAACCATTACAATTGAGATATTCGAGAGCACGAACTGGGCAATTTGTACCAATTCCTTTTCCAAATTCATTGATATTATATTCCTTAGCCGAATGTGTTCTGGCGTTGTCGACAACCACTTCAATATCATGATCTTTGTATTCTTTCTTGAACGGAAGAAGCTGGAACAATCGTTCGAATTGACATAAAATAGTTACGTTATCGAAATAGCCTTGTTCGCCCACGTTGATGCCAGCCGTTGCTGAAAAGCGATTAAAATTCAAATCATCAGAATCCGACAAAAGGTTCGGATAAGCTCTTGTTGCCTGCTCATATTCCTTTTCGGAGAGTGAGAAAAAGGGACCTGAAGGATGTTGAACTAAATAATCACTAATCATATGGCTTCGACCACGGCCTTTGGAAAAAAATGGAGTATGTCCGTCTACCGTCCAACGTTTCGCTGATACTTCTCCACTCTTGAACGTCGATTCGTCGTGAACTAAAAGAAAAGTGTTAGTATTTTTTGAATTCATTTCAAAATATTTTACTTACAGATCAAAACACATGGTTTTCCAGTTGGCAAATTCCACTGTGGCTGTTCATCTTCTGAAATTGTATAGTATCGATCTTTTCGTTCTAAGAAATAAGATATAAATTCTTGACGGTGTTTGACAACATCGTCTCTCTCGTGTCCCTCAAAATAAGGACGCTGGCTATTTGATTGAAACTTGGCACCCCAACGTCTAAGGTCGAGACGGCAACTTTCGGCAGAACGAACCAAACTAGCGTTGACCTTAGAAGTTTGAGTGATTTCATAAAACTGTTCATCCAGATATTTAGCCAAATCAACAGTAGTAAAACTTGCTGATTTTTTAGAACAAGCTTCAACTGCGAAAGCCTTTGCTTGAATCTCGAGTTCAGGAAACTGATCGTAAAATCCATCGTTATGTTTACCACCTCGTCCGTCATCATCAAACACGCCAAAACCACCGTCCAAGAAGGTTAACGCCCATTTATGAGCAATCTTGCATTGATTCACACCAATTTGATGAAGAATATCATCGATCTGTCGCCAGTTATGACCCAAGTACCGCAGAATCATGTATATAAGCACCGAAAGCTTACGTGATTCACATTCACGTTTGCATAATTCAAACATATCACTAATATTTGGCCCATCCACCTTCATTTTGAATTCCATTTCATCACCATTACCATCATCTTCTTGATCTTCCATTTCTATTTCCATGGGAATTGTGCTACAATATTCTTCTTCATCTGAAAAATGTTGACCTTGACTATGATGTCGACGTAATACAGCAATCCGAGAATGTCGTTGTCTTCGACATTTCCGAGGCATCGTAAATTGAGTTAAATGAGCAAAACAAAAAAAATTTAATTTAGCGTATAATAGCGTTAGCGATAATAAGACGAGTGTTAAGATTATCCGAAGCTAAAATCCGATCGACCTGATACATCATATTCATCAAACAGTGACTCTCTTCAGCCAGTTTGGGGGGGGAGGGGGGGGGAGCTGACCCTTCCATCACCCTCACTGTCTGGAAAAACTGTATATCTATCATTGTTCACAATATCTAGTTCATATGACAAGATAAAACTCGAATCTGAGCTAGATATGAAGTAGCCAATAGGAATGAGGCTATTGTTACTATGACCCATCCAATGATAATAGCTTTTCTCAATAAGGGAACAAAATTATTTTAAACCGATATATACTCTTTTTCCCTGTCTAATGCCGATTAGAATGGCGTATGAATATCGAGGAAAAGTTTTAAAACAAAAAACTAGATAGGTTTGCAAGACAAGGGGGTCCCCATGCCCATATCCGGGTCCGCATTGACCTGGTTAGCCATGACAATCACATCAAAGTTTGTTGAACTTACATAGTGATACTCAGTTTTAGATGCTGAATCTGAAAAAAGTAGTTTCAAAACAGTTCAAACAGTGTAAAGATGTGAATTTTGTCTTTTTTTGGGAAAAAATGCACTTTTTGACCTTATAAGGATTTTTCAGTATTTCTGATATTTTTGACCCAAAAATTGGTCAAAAATCAATAAAAAGTAGATATTCTGATTCAGCTCGATGAGCTCTATCAAACCATATATAAATCAGGAAAAAACATTTCTGCTCCGTTTTTGCATTTGGCACACCTTACAGAGTGAAAGATGAATTCTAGGTTTTCCCCGGGTATACATGTTATTATATCGATGCATGGACCAGATACAAGGTGGTACATGGTGAGACAAAGGGATACAAGATGGTACATAGTTAACTTTGAACCGATTGGTACAAGTTGTACTCGTACTTGGGCAGCCCTCAGACAGTTTTCTTTATTTGACAAGCAATATGGATATAAAATAACGAAATATTCTAATTTGATGAAGAACAAATTGAATAATATTTCTCGCGCAACGAATGATGAAATCATAAATGCATTTAAGACTCGCTTTTTCATCGTATTTTTCTGTAAACCAGACCGGTGTTTTACAATCATGTTTAATGAGAATAGGGTATACATACAACTCAAATATTGTATTATATATGTATCATATTATAGTGAGTAAAGATGAATTAAGTTACAGCTGGTACTGTCATATCCAGCCTGACGCAGAGTTCTTGTGTTGTCCATATGAACTAAGTAATCACATAAATGCCGTAAGAGCAAGTGTATGTCACAACAGAGCCAGCATGCTATTGGATGGGCGATCCGAGACAGATATTCGTCAGTGATGCGTCCAGGGTCACACGATGACTGGTGTGGTACTGATGGTTAAAAAACAGGGTGTGGATGTGGATGTAGGTTCATCCCAAAAGAAGGCTCAAATCACCACACCCACACCAACACCCACCCACACCCCTGTTTAAACATACTCGATGAAGATAAGTATCTGTATCTTCTGGCATATCATAATTAAATACAATATTGACACGTTCAAATAAATTTGTCGCAACAAGAATACGTGTTTGAAATTCTTTAAATTCTTTATAAAGTGCCAAACTAAACAAATAAAATTATTTAATTTATTATTATTATTTCAATTAAAAATAAAGAAACCGTTTTTCTTGTGATATTTCACGATGAATTTCAATAGCAGTAAAACCTTGTTCAGTTAATAATTTGCATAAAGCTGTACAACGTGATATTGATTTAACAAAAATAGCTACTTGATTAAATTCTAATTTACCAAGTAAATCAATTAATTTTCGATTCTTGTCATTTTTACGTAATTTAACACAATGTTGATGAAGACCCTTTATTTAAAATAATCATATTATTATTATATTTAGTTCTCAAACTTACATGAAGTTTTAATTTTGTTTCATTATCAATATGAATTTCCATGTGCTAGAAAAAAAATCAAATATTTTATCATAAATATGATAATGCATAAAACTTATATCTTGCATAAATTTTTCACACACTGATCGAATTTCTTTACTTAATGTTGCGCACTATATTGTTTTAAGATTTTTTGTGTTTCTTTTTTATGTACATGTTTTTTGCATAAGCTTGTCATTTTTTTTTATTGAAATAAATTAGGTTAACTCAAAAATAATTCTTAGATTTAAAACAAACATTGACCACAGATAGAATCGGACAGTGCTGGTTAGTCACGGTTTACCGAAAAAACCTGACGTTTTATTGCGGTTAACCGGGAAAAGCTGCCGGTTTTCACCCGGCTTTATGATATGGGTTGACTTGAACCACTTTTTAATTGTTGATTCATTTGTTTGATTAATAAATTTTGTTGCTCGATATGCTTATCAACCTTTTCCATCAAATTGGATAATTTGTTGTTGATATCGGATTGTTTTTGAACGTTTTGAACAAGAAGATCAATTGTTTGTTGCTGTTTATCGGGATCATTTGGATTTCGTGTAGTTCTTGTTGCTGTTGTGACCTGCTGTTGTTGTGGTTGATTACCTTCAGTAACTACTCATGTAGTGAAAGCTGGATAAAAACCGGCGGTTTACCGCAGTTTTACCGGTCCGGTTACCGGTCCGGTTACCGGCTCCTTGACATTGGTATATATAAAATAGTTTTTCAATTTATTTTCTTTTTCAAGTTTTAGAATAATTATTTATTTAAATCGAGTATTTGTCATAAAAATGGATCATTTAAACAAATGTTATCTGAATGAAAAAAACACAACATATGAATATGATTTTTTTCTGTAGGCTCCCTATATTTGCTTTTCGACACTTTAAACAAGCTAGTGCATGTCGATATTTGAGGACTACTAATTAAACAAAACATTTAGTTAGATTGTTCGACTAATTTCATCAATGGAATACTAGAGAGCATCTATTCTATAGGAAAAATCACTAGCAAATGAAACGAATACATTCGATAATGGGTTTAATGAGATACAACACTTTTTATCAAACTAAATTTTATTTAGATTTGTGATGAACAATCCCAGGTCGAGCGTTACGACCACCGTAAACGATCGTATTTCGTCGTTTTCCTTGTCGCCTGAATTACGGCCGTATTTCGTTGTGTACGACACGACGAAATACGACCAACTACGATCGTTGTAAACGACAATCTACGACCGTAAATGAAGTTGTTTCTCGCATTACTGACACCCCACCCCCCGGTCTCATCATTCACATGATGAAAGCTACTAATAATTTGAACTATTTCCTTCGAAAATCTACCAGAAAATTCAAACGAAGTGTTGAGAAGAAATTTTGTGAGATACATTGCTATTGAACAGTTGAGCGGTATAAGAAAATAAGTTCGAAGAGGAAATTTTTCTTCCATGGGTTTATTTCAATCGAACGTCTTCATCGATGTTGGCGTTCAGTAGAAATAAATTCATCGGAAAAATTTTCCTCTTTGAA